AGGTCCTCTTAGTCCAGGACTTTATATTTAGGACAGGTCCTCTGTAGTCCAGGACTTTTATTTAGGACAGGTCCTCTTAGTCCAGGACTTTATATTTAGGACAGGTCTCTGTAGGCCAGGACTTTATATTTAGGACAGGTCCTCTGTAGCCCAGGACTTCATATTTAGGACAGGTCCTCTTAGTCCAGGACTTTATATTTAGGACAGGTCCTCTTAGGCCAGGACGTTATATTTAGGACAGGTCCTCTGTAGGCCAGGACTTTATATTTAGGACAGGTCCTCTTAGTCCAGGACTTTACATTTAGGACAGGTCCTCTGTAGGCCAGGACTTTATATTTAGGACAGGTCCTCTTAGGCCAGGACTTTACATTTAGGACAGGTCCTCTGTAGTCCAGGACTTTACATTTAGGACAGGTCCTCTGTAGGCCAGGACTTTACATTTAGGACAGGTCCTCTTAGGCCAGGACTTTATATTTAGGACAGGTCTTCTGTAGGCCAGGACTTTATATTTAGGACAGGTCCTCTTAGGCCAGGACTTTATATTTAGGACAGGTCCTCTTAGGCCAGGACTTTATATTTAGGACAGGTCCTCTTAGGCCAGGACTTTATATTTAGGACAGGTCCTCTTAGTCCAGGACTTTATATTTAGGACAGGTCCTCTTAGTCCAGGACTTTATATTTAGGACAGGTCCTCTGTAGGCCAGGACTTTATATTTAGGACAGGTCCTCTGTAGTCCAGGACTTTATATTTAGGACAGATCCTCTTAGTCCAGGACTTTATATTTAGGACAGGTCCTCTGTAGGCCAGGACTTTATATTTAGGACAGGTCCTCTTAGTCCAGTACTTTACAATTAGGACAGGTCCTCTGTAGGCCAGGACTTTATATTTAGGACAGGTCCTCTGTAGCCCAGGACTTCATATTTAGGACAGGTCCTCTTAGTCCAGGACTTTATATTTAGGACAGGTCCTCTGTAGGCCAGGACTTTATATTTAGGACAGGTCCTCTTAGGCCAGGACGTTATATTTAGGACAGGTCCTCTGTAGGCCAGGACTTTATATTTAGGACAGGTCCTCTTAGGCCAGGACTTTACATTTAGGACAGGTCCTCTGTAGTCCAGGACTTTACATTTAGGACAGGTCCTCTGTAGGCCAGGACTTTACATTTAGGACAGGTCCTTATAGGCCAGGACTTTATATTTAGGACAGGTCCTCTTAGGCCAGGACTTTACATTTAGGACAGGTCCTCTTAGGCCAGGACTTTATATTTAGGACAGGTCTTCTGTAGGCCAGGACTTTATATTTAGGACAGGTCCTCTTAGGCCAGGACTTTATATTTAGGACAGGTCCTCTTAGTCCAGGACTTTATATTTAGGACAGGTCCTCTTAGGCCAGGACTTTATATTTAGGACAGGTCCTCTTAGGCCAGGACTTTATATTTAGGACAGGTCCTCTGTAGGCCAGGACTTTATTTTTAGGACAGGTCCTCTTAGGCCAGGACTTTATATTTAGGACAGGTCCTCTTAGTCCAGGACTTTATATTTAGGACAGGTCCTCTGTAGGCCAGGACTTTATATTTAGGACAGGTCCTCTTAGGCCAGGACGTTATATTTAGGACAGGTCCTCTGTAGGCCAGGACTTTATATTTAGGACAGGTCCTCTTAGTCCAGGACTTTACATTTAGGACAGGTCCTCTGTAGGCCAGGACTTTATATTTAGGACAGGTCCTCTTAGGCCAGGACTTTACATTTAGGACAGGTCCTCTGTAGTCCAGGACTTTACATTTAGGACAGGTCCTCTGTAGGCCAGGACTTTACATTTAGGACAGGTCCTTATAGGCCAGGACTTTATATTTAGGACAGGTCCTCTTAGGCCAGGACTTTACATTTAGGACAGGTCCTCTTAGGCCAGGACTTTATATTTAGGACAGGTCTTCTGTAGGCCAGGACTTTATATTTAGGACAGGTCCTCTGTAGGCCTGGACTTTATATTTAGGACAGGTCCTCTTAGGCCAGGACTTTATTTTTAGGACAGGTCCTCTTAGGCCAGGACTTTATATTTAGGACAGGTCCTCTTAGTCCAGGACTTTATATTTAGGACAGGTCCTCTTAGTCCAGGACTTTATATTTAGGACAGGTCCTCTTAGGCCAGGACTTTGATCCTCTTGTCCTCCTCCACCAGATGATGTCCATGGTCAGTGGCAGGCATGTGAAGGACTCGGAGCAGCTAAGTTCGGTGTTGTGGGCGATGCGGAGAAGGCCGTCCTGTACTACAAGCAGGCCCTGGCCTTAGTCTCCAGAGCCAAGGTGAGATCCGTGATTGGCTGACAACACGGCTCTGTACATGGAGACCGGGGGGGGGGGGGGAGAGCAGACAGGAAATCTTCTCCCAGGGCCTGAAAGCTGGATGGAGGGCCGATCACACCATACAAACGCAGTCCAGGTCAGGGGCGGACTGACACTCATGGGGCCCCCGGGCAATAGGGATAGGGGATCATGGGGC